CGAACCCGCCACCTTAGGTGTACGTGGCTGGCGCCTTAGCTGGTTGAGCTATAGGCGCCGAGCCCCCTTTTTGTTTTCTAAGTCTACTTGGCTTGCTTTGAGAATACCCGTTTTCATATACATCTTTGCCAACCAATTTCTCGAGTTCTCCTGGCTGTCCTGCCTTTAGTGAAATTCGCCTGGTATCTCCCTTTAGTGTGTTAGGGCACAAGTAGATGTATTTCAGTTTAGCACATTTTTTCTTGAACATTTATTGTTGCTATTGTTTTGTAAAAATATCTTATTAGTTTTTTTACTGTTTGTTTTTCTTTCAGATAGGCATGAAAGTAAATAGTTATTACTTGTTTAAATCAGGGGTGCCACATTTTATTTTTCTGTGCCTCGCATAGGAAGAGTAAGAGTTGCCTTGGGCTGCACGTTAAATACATAGACACAAAACTGATGAGCAAAACAAGTTCTGGGCGTACTTTTTGGGTATCAGATAACCACAGATAAGCAAAATCATCTTCAAATCAGCATGTGGCCTGCGGGCAGGTTGGACACCATTGGTTAAATGAATGCTAATACTTTGAAGTTTGAGCAAAAGAGTATTATTTAAGATAACACAAGTATATTTTTCATTAATTTTTATTACCAGCATTTGAAACAAATCTTAATATTATGTAGCATTATGTATTCAGGCAACAGTCTTTTTTTACGAAATAAACTTGAGTATGGTTTTTATTTATTGAAGTTGTAAGTTATCTTGTTAACATTTAGAGATTACTGCTTGATGTGAGTTTTACAGAAGCTCTTTATGATGAAAAAATAGTAGATGCTAAAATCATGCTGATGATCCCATATGAAGAAAGTATTTACTTCAGCTGAGTTATTTTATAGAAAGCTTTTTGAAGCCTCATTCAGTTTTCTTTCTTTTTGTCTTCTAGTTCATCATTCTTGTTGTTGATAGCATTGACAGGGAGCGACTAGCTATTACAAAAGAAGAATTATACAGAATGTTGGCTCATGAGGTAAATTTTGAAAGTAAATCTTTACAAAACAATGGAGTAACTGTTCTTTGGCTTTTTTTTTTTTACTGAGATTAATGTCGTTCGATATTGGTCATCCTCGCAATACAAGTCTATACGTTAAATTGACAAAAATCTTGATGTCAAAAATTTACATTCTTTTTTCCACACTTCAAGCTGACCTATTAATCTGTGCACTACTATTATTGCAGAGGTTTGTCAAAGTTAAAATTACATAAGCATGCCTGAAAAAGTCTGATAAAGTGAAGGAAAAGGAAAATTTATGTCTTTTCCCCAGGAGCTTACAATAACTAAAAGATCTTTAATGAATAATTGGAGGTCACTTAATTGCAAATATTCATATATATTGAAAGAGCACAATAAAGCACCTTCCTATGCTACTATTGAACATAGGATACGCAGGGTCTTACAAGACCTCACCCATCTAAGTTTCTACCCTTCTGTCTCAGGTATCCACTATCCTAAAAGTAGTGGTTATTATTCCCATGTACATTTTTATACTTTCTCTGTTGTTTTGTGTCTGAATTATACAGAACATTATTTTTATGGTCTTAAAACTTTGTATCATAATGTCATAATGTGCATGTCTTTCTCAACTTGCTTTTTTCTGGACAACATTGTGATTTACCCACGTTAGCACGTACAGCTGTAGTCTATTCCTTTAACAAGTATATGGCTTTCCGTGGTGTGAATATAGCACAGTTGATCTTTTTAATTTTTTATAGTATAAACTATGCTGAAATGCACATTAACCAATGCCCTTATATTATATAAAGACTGATAAGTATTGCCCAGCTCCTGTCTCCATTACTCTACTTTAAATTTTGAAGAAAGCGTAGTATTTGGCAACATACTACCTGCCATATTTGCCCATCAGAATATTGCTCAGATAGTTTTGAGTCAGTGTTTAAGATTCAGGCTTTCCTTTTAGTTTGACCACACTGGCCCATAAATAAAAAAATAACTTCTAATTAGTTATCTTCTGTTAATCTGTCTTTGTTAGAGTGAATCATATATCATGGTTATTTATGTATTTTTTCTTTGTTAAGATAGTGTTTCTCTCTGTTGCCCAGGCCGGTTGCTTGGGTCTCGTGGTCCAATCATAGCTTACTGCAACCTCATAAGTCCTATTCTCCTGGCTCAGCGCCTATAGCTCAACGGCTAAGGCGCCAGCCACGTACACCTAAGGTGGTGGGTTCGAATCCCCAGCCCGGACCCGCCAAACAACAATGACGGCTGCAACCAAAAAATAGC